TTAATCAGCCGGTTCAGCGGTTTACTGACCAAAATCAACGATTTTAGGGAAAAAACTGTTTTGGAGGAAAACGGACCAATTCCCAATTTTTCCGATCCAACCATCCGATCCAGTCCGGTTTTGAAAACAATGTGCATTAGTGATTTTAACTTGGGTAGGCCAGCTTAAGGTCTTCTTGGCAAAAGTAAGGTTCAAATTTTTTATATAATACGTCCCTTATCAAGTGAATCATATTATGTATGTTTTGGACTGATTGAAATCCATTTTTTAAGGCTTTTCAAGAATTTATGTTTTTAAACATTAATTAAATACCATTAAAACTGAAAATCCTCATGAAAATCTCAACGTGAAAATATAACAAAAACACTATATATATATATATATATAGCTCAGTTTGCGATGCAAATTTCATTTACACGGGGACTGTAAATAGGTTGGGTGCAGAAATCCACTAGATTCAGATTTGGTTCTTTTGTTTGTCTGTGAGAAATAAAATATCAAACTCTTCCCAAAAGAACAGATCACAAATTCCAGATAAACAACTCAATGTCCACTAGGCTTTTTATGTACTATAACTTTATCCTGAGACCTGAGTACATATAATGTACAGGAAGAACCGAAGGCAGTACCTTCATCAAAAGTCAAACTTTTTTCTAATATATGTCGTATTTGAGGAATTGTGGGTTACGTTTCCAGTGATAACATTAGCGAATGAGAAAAAAAAAAAAAAGTTCGAAAATCCAAAGGAAAGTGCTTTTTGTTGGGTAAACGCCAACTCACTTTCTATGGAATTAATCCATTAATATCGTCTTCGGCATCATGATCACCATCCACGAAAATATGCATCAAAATCTATAATTATGATAGTTTGACAAAAGTTTTAACACCAGCTCAAAATCTAATACAACCTTCCTTTATCCAGGCTTGACAGGCGATGTAAAACAAGCTCTGAAGCTCACACACACTCCCCGGATTTTTATATGAAATTAACTAATTAATTCAAGGTTTTAAAAACTGGATTGAAACTATTTTGGCCATCAGTTCCTATGTTAAACGGTTTGACCATCCATTTGAACAGATAGTTCATTCTGATTTAAAAAATAATTAAAATAAAAAATTGGTCAATGGATCGATAGTTTGACTGCCTAAATCAGCGGGTTGTTGATTAATTCAATAATTTTTTACTCAGGAACGGTTTTAGGTGAAACAGAACTGGTTTGTCTAACCGGTTCCTATGTCAACCAATCCGACCACCCGGTTTTGTCCGGTTTTCAAAACCATGATTAATTAGGACAATGGAATAATTAATTGAAACAGCATTTGTGATAATTAAAAGCATCGTAAACTAACTATTTTTTGTTTTCTGTGTTCAATTGATTGATTAGTTCTGATCAGTCTTGATGAGTGGTAATTTTGTCCAATCTATCAACACCTAGACACGTGGAAATGATTTCTTGACTGGATGACAATTCAGTGTATTTTGTCATCTCAACAAGTCAAGTCAGTTCGGATATTTCAGGCACCTCGACCAAGACCGAGGTCTGAGAAGCTTGTAATCGCCCGACCTACCGAGGTGATACGTAGTCAATTTCTAGAAGCTAACCAACTGTCTCCAACCTCTTTGGGATTACACCACACATCCGCAAACCTTATCCTTATCCTACCTGAATAGGATGGACTTGATAAGCCTTATCAGCTCACACGAAATCCACCTCGAGTGTGGAACGAATTCCTAATAACATGGGCTGGGGATCTCGAAAGTGTTTCGTAAGACTTACAACAACTCACCCATATAAGGGTACTAACCCCAACATTACAAGGTACGTACGATCATTTGCTCACTAGCCTTCTAGCTTACAAGCTTTCAGCTTGCATATAGCTACTAACTTAAGCAACGGAACACCCACATTGGACAAGCCACCCCAGGTCCTCTGAGCATTCTTTTCTTATAGTTTGACCGGCCAACTAAGCGGACCAACGTCTGAGCCTCCTCCAGTTAGGAGCATTCAAATCATGCACCACCAAGTCTCATGCAGGTAAATTGGTGAATTATTAAGCTATTCTTTCATACTGACTTGAATAAGGGACTATTTGGCAAGTCTTTTCAGATAAATCTTTCAACAGCTAGTCTAGTAGACAAGAAAATGCATTGAGCTTTTACGGTTTTGTCTTTAAGGGCCAAAACTGTTTGATTCATGTGGTATACCGGGCTATTGAAAACAAATGGAAAGGCTACTTCATCCGAAACTTCCCGATGTTTGACTTTTTCGGTCTTTCTGCACGTTCATCTTTAAATCTTTCGATCTGCACAATACCAAACAGAAAAAAAAAAAATGAAAAAAAAAACTTTTTTCCATCTTTCGAGCTTTTTACAAATCGAAAGACACACCGAACATACAACATAAAACACCACCTTAATAAACTTGTAAAACTTTATAGTGAGCCTTGAATTCAATCCACATACAGCTGCCAACATTTGAACTATTTCAATTCAAGCGAACGAGTGATCAACATGTTAAGGCTCAGCAGAAGTTCTCAGCGCCTGAACATTCTCACTGCCCCACATGATCGTCAGTACTGAATCAATGTCAAGCGTGTTGCCACCACTCACATATATAAATATGCGGTGGAACCTCCATCTGTCAATTTATCTAATTAACGGAAGTGGTTTCACCTCCATTTCCATCAATTTTGCAAAGAATTTTGGGTAAAACGTTGCATGCTTTCATGCAATCACCAGTACTAAATCATGCATCCCACACTCCCACTTAACCAGCAAATCACCATCTTCAGCCCTGCCAGACAGGACCAAAGGCTACCGCACTAAGCTTCAGACTTTTCTTTTTCAGGAACGAAGATGGGATCCAGTCCATCGTGATTTCCAACCTAAAAGCTTCATCAGTACGCACTACACCTTTAAAAATTTAAGGAAAACAATTCTACTTTCCAAGTTCTAAAAGTACTAACAAAGGAGGACTACTTCGTCTGGACCCCAATTAGGGCTCCAAGGACGACCACTCTGCTTTAACTTCATGGCCTCAGGCCTCTTGGACTTGAGAGTTTCTCAGGGCTAGGCAGAGAGGAAGCCAATTCCTGGCCGACCTGGTACTAAAACTGAGAGTCTGAGGCCCATTACATAAATCATAAATGGTCCGTAGGCATGGCAGTTTTTCTATCCTCATCCGTATCCAGTTTTCCAACTCAATGGGATCGGGATGGAAATTGCCTTGACAGAGATAGGGTGAAGACGGGGATTAATAGTGATACCTGATCGAAGATGGTAAATGAAATTTTCGTCCCACCCCAACTTCGATTATATATATTAAATATTATAATATATTTAAAATATTTTGTATTTAAAAAATCTTATTTTAAGTAAATCTATTTTATAAAAATAATTTTAATTTAAAATTTTTGCAGACTCAGGTCCTCAATGACGAACCCACCCCATTGGGGATCAAGAATAGAAGGTTATTTTTATCCCCGATGAAATTTATTTCAAAATTAGGATCCCCCCCCCACCACCCCAAATTGCTTACTCTCAATCTTATACATTAATTATAATATTATATTCATATATATGCAAGAGTTGTTGGGTCGGATCTTAACTGGGTCAAATGGAGCAAATCCAGATTCCAAGAATCCATATATCTGATTACTGCTTAATTAAATATTCATATCCAGGTTGAATCCAAAGTGAAGATCCAATAAAATGACAGCATTAAGAATGGTGTCATGCGATAACAAGTCTTACCATGTCTATCAATCAGCTCAAATATAAACAACAAGTTTGTTGTTTCGACCATAGAAATTATAAATACAGTACTATAGAGTTTTTACTTTGTTTACTCAATAATGAAGTCTTTCCATCAAATCACTGCTTCTCCTCTCCAGGATGAGAAAGTATCTAACAAACTTATTGATCCGATCCACTAGTGTAAAAATATCTAATAAAAGCATTGAAAACACTAATGTTTTCATTAAATTATCACTTCTTCTTAGGTGATTTGAATCCACTAGTTAGCACTAGGACATTCTAGAATGACATTCTATCTATCTAGACAAGCTATATCATATATGGTTCATAGGTTGTTTAGAATCCGTTTACTTTACAATTGGAATTGGAATTGAAATTGAAATTAAAATGGTCTATTCTCATAATATGTTTGGTTCAAACAAGAATCAAAATAGAAATTAAAATCAGATATAATAGAGTCTCATTCCTAAAGGAGAAGGGAATAGCCATTCCTTTATGTCGGGAAATGTCATTCCATCAGAAATAGGAATGAGATTTCAATTCCGCCTGGCCAAATAATTAAAATTGGAATGAACCATTCTGATTCCGATTTCCATTCGGCACCCCTTATTCCCGCGAACTTAATGTCCTTAATTACTACAGTCAAAATGGTAATGGTCATGGGTTAGTTAAGAAACCATATTATCTCACATGAATATGTGTATATAGTTATTGGAAGCTTAGGAAGAGAGTGCACCATAGTGCAGAAGAGTTCACACTTCATTTGGAACCCAAATAAACCATTACTCCAATGCTCATTATCAATCTAGCTAGAGTTCAAAAAACCATTCATTGGAGAGAGAGCAATCCATAATTATGTCATTCTAGCTAGGTATCAAGCTTTAAAGAAGCACCACTCACGCTCTTACATTTTGACAGGGAGATAGATATGTGTGGCCGTAGAAACAAAGTATTTTCTTTATATTTATATATATATATATATATATATATATATAAGTTGCTCCAAAAGAGTATGATATGCCCCCAAGGACGAAGGCTTTTCAGTCTTCAATTTTAGACCGAAATGTGAATGAGTGAGTGGACCAATTGGAATGGGAATTAGACAAGTGAAAAGTGGGGGACTCCTTGTTTTTTAATCTTTTTAAAATGTATGGAGAGGGTCTCCACTACCACCAACTACAGGCCACTCCACTATCCCCCCACACACACACAGAGAGCTAGGAGAAGAAGCTACTAGAACTAGATGGTGCACAAGGTGCCTATAAATAGAGAACCAGTCTTAATGCTCCCTCGTTGTAGTTTCTGCATCAAGATACAACGGATATCCTTGGTAATTAAGCCATTATTGTATTTTGAGATGGCAAGCTCAAGAGTGATAAGTTTTGCATTCTTGGTTTTGCTTCTTGTGGAGCTTTCCTCTGCTGCAAGACTTTTCTACGGCAGAGGAGGTAGGGG